TTAACTTCCTGTCAATGAGCACGATGTCTTGCACATATGTTTCTCAACCATCTCTTTTATGGATTAGACGTTTAGGGCGTAAGTTTATGGCGACTGCAAACACGTCTATAATAATAATAATAAGTATAAATATGTGAAGCAGATATTAATGTTTTTGTAAGGGAAAGACTGAGTTATTAATGTAATAAAAGAAATTTGATGCCATTAAAAGAGAGAGAGAAAGCAAGATGTACTTAAATCTTTGTCTGTATCCATCATAGTTTCAAATTCCTGAAACATAGTGAATTCAAAAGTGGTGAATAGCTGTGCGCTGTGATCTTCATTTGTTTCTTCCACTAGAGTAGTACCTGAGATGGTCCGTTGAATGTCCCCATATGCATTTTTGTACCCTGCTTTTGTATGATTGACATATGCATTTGAAATCAAGTAAGTTTTTCCAATTTTGAGATCATCTTTGAAGGCTACAATAGTGTTGTCCCAAAAGGTAGCCTGCACCTTGTTACCCTGTAATAAATGATTTGAAAGATTTGTTTAATATAGAGATAAGTAGATAACTATATCAAGTGTAATACTCTAAAGATTACAGATTTGGTTTAAGTTTACTTTTAAATATATATACGTAATAGTAACACATGTTGTAATGGAGAGTGCAAAGTGATGTTGGTACTATAAAAAATAATAAATTAATCACAAAATAACAATGTGCACTAAAAGTTACTCTTTCTTCCGTGAGGATCATGTGTTGGTATTTGGTTTGGCCATTTTGTGATGATTTTGGAGGTGCTTTTTCAGCAGCCACAACTTTGGATGTCCAGTTTCTTTGGTCAGGGCTAATGTTAGTGATGAGACTAAATTGTTGATTCATGATATTACTCTGTATTAGTTGGGTAGAAGGAAAGAGAAGTTAGAAAAATGTGGCTGGTAAGTGAACATTAAATATATTTTACATTGCAGCTTTTTAAAACAAGTGCAAATGTTTGTTTTTTAGCTAATATACAAATAAGAGAAACATAGTATAGAATCTTCACATAGAATATAGGATATGAAGAAACACAGCAGTATTTTCTCCCTTTTTATTTTTTGTTCGTGTTTTTATAAGCTATAACTTAAGTAGCAAAAAAAAAAGAACTCAAGAGGTAAGTTGAGTTAAACAAGAACAAAACTATAAACCTGATAATTGAAATAGAATTGTGAAGAAGGTAGACTGAAGCAATATTTTTTCTGTTATGTGTGGATAGTACTATAATCTCTAATAATCAAACGTAGTAGTTAGAAAGATTTCTTTCAAACAAATAGAAGTGTTTTTCAGCTAAAACAAATAAGAGAAATAGCCTAGAATCTTGATGTGGAATAGGAAAAAATGAAAAAACACAAAAGTAGTTTCTTTTCTTTTTCTTGTTTGTTTATGTTTTGGTAAGGTATATGATAACTGAAGTAGAATGAAGATACCAGGATAGAAAAAAAAATATGATAAAAAAAAGAACTCAAGAACAACAATATGCTGAGTTAAATAGGAACAAAACTACATACCTGGTGGTTGAAGTAGAACCGTGAAGAAGGAAGATAGAAGCAATATTGTTTTTGTTGTGTGTGTTTGCCTTTATATAATATGTAAGAACTAAATTTTGAAGTTATAATAATTACTATACAGTACCTATCATCATACTATGGTATAAAAAATAAAGCAGAAATCTGTGGAACAGATTATTATATGTATCAGATAGTACACTGACATCAGTGCACAGTAGGTAATGTACAGTGTATACATGAAAAGGAAACAAATTTTTGGGAACAAGTTGGCAGCTGAAAATCAGGAAAACGGAGAAAAGAATGGGCAAAGAAAAATATATATTTATTTATTAGTAGTTTACTTGTAAAAGTAAATACAAAGTTAGATATTTTGTAAAATAAATGAAACGTGATTTTTAGCAAATTTGACTGTAGCAATATATATTAATTTGAACTATACTTGAACTTGCTTGAAAAAAACAAAGAAAATAGGAAAGTGCTAAATTAACAAAGATGAAAAAGAAAATAAGGGAAAATAAAAAATGATTTCTAAAATAGCTTAGAATTTGATTTATTTATTATTAAAAAATAGTGAATGCGGATACTAATTCATGCGAAGACACATTCAATCAGAAATACGAATAAAATGTAGAGGAATTTTATCTGTTCATTTGAAGTAATATTTTAAAAAAAGACTATAATATTGAGATAAATTGATTAATCATTATTATGAAATAAAAATTTAAATTTTAAGAAAAATCTGAAAGAGGAAAAATAAAAAGCCAACATAAAAATGTTGGACAAAATTGCAGTTTCCGTGTAGTATGAACATATATTTTTTTTCAAAGTCAAACAATTTATATATATATATTATTTAAAACAAAAACATGAAATCTAAATAAATTATATGTTTTTGAATTAAAATTTACCTGGATTCTGTCAATTGATGTTGAAGAGTATTTACAAGTAAAATATACCTCATGAAAACCGCAAATATGTTGATGTTGGACTGGTGAATAGTGCCGAATCGAAACAGGAAAGGTGTTTTATAACACTTTATAGAAACTTAGAAGTCAATGAAATTGAACATTTTTTTCATAAAGCATCAAAATCATAGAGTAGCCACACCTTTTTTTCTCCTATTATTTTTCCTTTTGAGTTCATGGAATTTATTTGTACAAGAATATTGAAAAAAGAAAGAAAGAAAGAAAGAAAAGATCTTGTGAGCTTGTAATAGGAACTCAAATAAGCATGAAAAGATGGTATGCATCAATTTTGCTTTGAAAATAGATTGTGTAATTTAACTCGAGGAGCTGTTTTATCAAGAAAATAATGCTAGAATGAATTATGACGACAACACTACTGAATGACCGCTATACTTCCTTTTGGGAGGGGGGCTGGAATGGAAAAGTGAAGGGAGTGCCAAGTATATTACCATTTCCAGGCAGAATTAGCTTCAACGGAGCAATGAATCTTTGATAAAAGCAATGGCAAAGATATCCCAAGACCAAATGAAAATTCCATATCTAGTAAATAGAAAGAACATGGTAAAAAATGAGTCATTTGCTAAAGATAAGTAGTTAAACAAATGCCAATACAAAAGGTCAATGGGATATAGAACTGAAGGTACAAAAATGTAAAAATGCTCTCTATCTTTACTGCCAAGATGTTAGACTTGTAGTTTCAAACATGAAATCAAAATAAGACGATGCTTATATGTCTGATATTTGCTATTATGGACATACATGGAAGCATGCCATAACGGGTGCTATTAAATCTACCATTCCAGTGTATCTTTTAAAGCCATGAAAGGCCTTTGACATTCTGATTGAAACCAAAAAAAAAATTTAATTTGGCCACCCTGAGTAGTCCAAATTTGTAGATGTCATTATCAACTTAATTTAAATAACAATTTGTTGTTAAATATTCATTCTGTATTGAGGTGCTACTAACGTAATCATACTAATCCTATTTCGTCAAAAGATAGGGCATGTAAGCATATGGAAATACTAAATCCCTAAAATAAAAAAAAATAAAAAAAGATTCTACATTAGCTCCAGCATCTAGAATTCTGGAAAAGGAAACCGTGGATAGTTATCTTGACATACAATCTGTAGAGTTAGTCCTTTAAGAAATTTGGGAAAGGAGTTAGGCATGACATAATTAGATGATAAATTGCTAAATTATAGAAAAAGTGTACCTATGGAGGAGGAACCAAAAAGAAGCAGAAGAGGCAGTGTAGAGACAACTGATGGAAGCAATCTATGGTTTCTGCCCACCAACTGTTGTAGATAAAAAATTGAAGCAGATAATATATCTCGACAGCTATGATCAACATCGTTTTCTCCAAATGTAGCCAACAAGATCAATAAAAGCTGAAACAAATGAGTGAGAAGGAAAGATAAATTGACATGAACTACAATTTAGTAATAAATTAAGGATCTAGAATGATTTCATATTTTATTATATCATAGTCATACAAGCCTAAGGGTGCAGTAAAACAACCTCTTTTGCAGCTTCCATGCTCAATGTATATAGATCAGCATCTGTTCCAGTTGCTGTTGATCTTGTGCCATAAACTATTTTCTTTTTCGCCATTGCATTTGAAATTGAGGCCTTAGGAGTTACATGAACATAACAAAAACATAGACTCTGTCCAGAAGGGTCACCAACACCAGTAATCACCAGGCACTCAATCTTTTCTTCATCCTAAATATGAAAGGTAAGATCAATTTCTAAATACATGATCCTATACATTTATAAGACAAACCATCTTTCATGTAATTGATTATATGGGATGAAGCTTTTATGACACATCATTATGCTATAGAAGCTTTAGATAGAATGCTTAAAGATATTCATGAATGTGATACACTTTTTGGTTGCGACCATGGAGGTAGAGGAATGAGTAGATGAGGCTTTGAAGGGAGAGATGGACCTGACAGGGAAGGAAGATTTTGTGGTAGAGGGTAGTTTTAGAGGCAGGGGGCATAGTGATTGGAATAGCAGAAATGATTCTGGTGATGACAAGATGTACAACTGGAAAAAGATTCAAATGATAACAGTGAAGGATGGAAAAGTGGCAGCATTGAAGGCAGTTCATTTCAAGTAGGAAGTTGGAGTTCAAGTTGGAATCAATCAAAAGGGGATGCGGATGATGCAGGTAACACTGAAGCTTTTAGAGGATGGAACAATTCAGCGGATGCTAAAATAGATTGTCAAAGTAATGCTGGAGGTAGTGAGTGGAAAACAAAAAATGCTTCTGCTGGGGATGTATCTACTGGGGGGAGCAACCATTTGGTTGGAGGGATACAGTTGGTTGGAAAAAAGAATCTGCTTCAGGAAACCAGAACACGACTGGAAAATGGAAATTTGATGCTACATATGAGGCTTATCTTAAGAATCTAACAAAGTTGAACGAGTTGTTAGTAGTTAATGAGATAAAAGTGCAAGAAACTCCTGGAGCCAAAAACTTGTTTGCTGATGAGGACAAATCAGAAGACACCAATGGCTGCAAAACTAAAGAATCCAACAAAGGTGAAGGATGACCACTGATGATGAACCTACAACAAAGAATCTTATATTAGCCTAATCTAATTTGAATAATTGGGAAAAAAATCAGAACTCACTATTGTATGGTTTATGTAATTAAGGATGATATTTGTTGCCATCATTTACACGTGATATTTTGTTACATTAACACAACCAGATACAAGTTAGACAATCATGAAATAGTGAAAATAATTAATAAACACTTCAAATAACGCGTAGTTAAGGAATGTCAAACAAAAAAATTGAAAGAAACATAAATAAAAAATAAATAAATACATTAAATACATAACTCACCTTACAAAGAATTGTAGAAAACAGGAAGATATAAAAAAATTCAACAAATATAAAGCTCTTAAGATATTATGCTAATTTATGGTATTTCTTTGTACCTTATGCACCA